ACGGCAATCGTCCATGGACTTGGCAGCGGTAGGTCGGCGCGAAAGACGCGATCGTTCCGGACTCGCCAGACGTTGAACCAGACGCAGGCGCGGAGCACGGGCCAGAGGTTTTGCGGTGCTGGTCATGTACCGGTATAGATTCAATAAAATATCAACTTGGACACTTGATTGTTATTTTTTGCAGCTCAGCCTCGACCGACGCATCGATGCATCGACCGCTGTAGATTACTCTTGTCGACTCGTTTGAGCCAGTTGGGAGGATTTTTTATGTCTCTTCTCGATCGACGATAGACGAAAGCAGACCTTGCGACGGGGTGCGCATCGAACAGCGGTTGGGATTGCTCTCGTTGTACCCGCAACACAATCGCGTTCAATGGCGAGGCTGCTGGCAACTCTACATTCTTAGCGACGAGTTCCAACGAGTTCTTACTCTTGTGCAGACTGCGCTCGTCTCGTGCACTGCTCCCATCAGCAATTTTCACGATAGAGCAGCAGCCACACAGCTGAGCAGCAGCAAGGAGATTTCCTGCCGCTTGCTGTCGCTTCCGAGGATCTATCAAGCCGCCGATCGTGTGCCAATCGGAATGGCCCACATGGTCGTTCTCGCCTTTGGATTGGCTGCCAGTTTCTCAGCGAGGTGGCTGGCACTTTTGCTCATTTTTCTTTTTCCGATTTCCATGTCGTCCATCCTCAAGGTGCAGCTCCACAAGGCGACGGACCTCCCGGTCGCCGACATGGCCCTCACGGGCGGCAAGTCGGACCCGTACCTCGTCTTCATCCTCAACGACCAGACGTACCGCACGCCCTGCATCGCGTCCAACCTCAACCCGATCTGGTCCAACGAGACGTTCCAGTTCCGCGTCAACGACACGAGTGGTATTCTGCGCGTCGAAGTCTGGGACGACGACAACTTTCGCCCCGACGACCTCCTCGGCGTCATCGACATCCCGCTCTCGACCGTCGAGAAGGGCCTCAAGAAGGAAGAAGACAGCATCAAGCCCTACGCGGTCAAGGTCGTCGAGAGCCTTCAAAAGCAGAACGTGTCACCGCACGTGTTCATGTCGATCGCGCTGTTGACGCCAGTCGAGGCCGTCGCCTTGCTCGACTTTGAGGTCTGGGAGAACGAGCGCTGGAGCCGCGTGCGCCGCACTTGGGCCAAGGCTAACTTGACCGAGACCGACCCGAAGGAGTGGAGCTCGAGCGACGGCAGCGAATCGTCGACCAAGTTTGAGGACGTGATTCCGACGATCCCGCCGCGCTACGAGCCCATCAACACGTGGCACTACGTCAAGCACATTGGCGACAAGGACGGGTGGATTTACGGCCCGACGTTTGACGGCCCATGGTACGAGGTGCCCAACCTGCTGCACATTGTCCGCCGCCGGCGCTGGATCAACGCGTACAAGCGCGACGACTTTCAGTTTTAAAGAAGGACTCTCCGCGTAGCTAGTATCATTAACCTATATAACCATCTACCTGCATTTCGACCTCCATCTGCATCTCGACCATCTTCCTCGGCCATCGCCATCTTCATCCGCGTCGCATCCATGCAACATGGTGCTGCAACCACTCCCACGTCAGTCCTCCAGAGGGACACTCCCTGCAAACGACACCCGCAAATGAGCCCGGTTCAAGAAGGGCAGGATGAATTCGACCTTTGTATGAGACACTGCATGGGATTGTGGGCAACTCCCTCAACGCGAGCATGGCGTCCACTTCAACGCTGATGGGGTTGTCGGGATCGAGCCAATCAGCAACGCACCTGCCAGTTTGCATTTGGCCAAGAAACGAGAAGAGGACCAAGATGGGGATCGTTGCGTCGTCGTGCGAGCACTGCATCGGCGCCGCCGAAAAGCACATTGAGAAGGTCAAGCGCAAGAAGAATGGCGCTGCGAAGGAGCCGTCGCGCCTCATCCGC